TTATCACAGCTGACAGCGACAACAATGAACATTGGGATTTGGCAAGAATACCAGGTATGTGATGCGTCAATTTTGGTCACGTGATATTTGCTCACCGTGTTATTATTGCTGCCTGGGAGGAGGGGGGGGGGCAATATAATCTGCTGGAGAAATACAATCACCATGAACTGTCTTACTCAGCTGAATTGTCTTGAATACTAGTATTAATGAAAATAGTAATGTTTGCTCATCGTATTATTATTGCTGCCGGGGGGGGGGTATAATCTGCAGGAGAAATACAATCACCATGAACTGTCTTACTCAGCTGAATTGTCTTGAATACTAATATTAATGAAAATAGTGATATTTGCTCACCGTGTTATTATTGCTGCCGGCGGAGGGATTGGGAAATATAATCTGCAGGAAAAATACAATCATCATGAACTGTCTTACTCAGGGTTGAATTGTCTTGAATACTAATATTAATGAAAATAGTGATCGTTTGCTACATATACTATTATAGCAAAAAATGTCTGAACACTATATCCCACAGTCAAACATTGAAGGTAATGTGCGAGCATATAACAACAATATTATTTTTTGAAAGCAGTATTTTTGAATATTCATATATTTGTTATACAGTCGTAACTATCCAGTCTAGCAATTGTCAAGAGCAAGAAGACGAAATAATAGATCTCAAGTACCAGCGAGCCGCTCTCTATATATCCTGCGTAGTATTCGCCGCTGTTGGCGTCGTTATCGTAGCAATGTTGGGTATGGCTATACATATTATAACTAAGAGGGAAGTTCAACTCAGACGTCACTTTAAAGGTACGAATCTTGTTGCACAACCCCTTGTTTAACTGGAAATTATATGTAGCATGTGAAAAATATGTATTTTACGGCGAGAATAATTTAAAATTTTAATGAACCGCGCCTTCGCTGACCGTCGTCAGAGGACGCAAATCTTTCGTTGCTAGGAAAAGTCATACTGATTTCTCTAAATAGACATAGAAGATTGCGCCGATATAAAAACTACATACTATTATATATGGTTTACCTCATTTCATCGTTTATTTTCGTTAAATAAGAACATTTCAAGGCCCATGTCAACTTATGATCACAAATATTGTCGATTGGAAATGAATGTAAAATGAATCATACTCACTTGTCGATTTTCTCAGCAGCTCAGACGCTGTCTCATCTTTATGTAAATTAATAAATCTAGTGCTTGGCAACCCCTATCAAAAATATTGACAAAGAAATATAAAATGTAATAATAATTCTCTATTTTTTTCTCAGTTAGCCTAACCGACCCCTTCTTAGAAGAACTCAACCCCGACAAGACAAAACCCGATGAGAACTCCGTGATGGAAGACATACAACACGTCGACGAGGTCGACACACCAGCCGTTGAGGGCGCTAACGGCGGAATTAGTAACACTTCTTTCAAGGAGTAGTAGTTTGTAATAAACAAGAATATGAGAAATAAATAAATCAATAATAGCGGCATAGAAACAGAGCATATAGATTAAGCGCATGATTGAAAAGCTCAAAAGGGTATGAATTTAGTTTTCTCACATAGTTTTAATCACTGTAATACTAATCCTTATACACCAGCCATGTGAATGTCGGCGATAGCGTCTCAGCAATCCATGGTATTACTGGTCATAATCACTCGCTGCAAATTTACTGCGGCTGTCCCGGATGTTACTGTGTTGTTGTTGTTGAGAAGGTGGAGTTATTTCAAGCAGGGAAGTAGGGTGCCACAGTGGTTCTAGTTGCTGGTTGTTCAGTGTCAACATATGATTGGAGTGTTATTTGTCGAACATCACGACGTGCCTGTTTGTTCTCAGTGTTACAAGGGATTAAATAACCACCCATTCATGTAATATATATCGTTGCCCATTATCATAGATGTTATTGTCACATCCCAAATTTTGGTTCTGGCTTCTCTAATAAATAATCCAATCGCTATACTGAAATAATGTTCTTACGTCACAATTATAGAAGGATGAATATCCATTCGGTTCTTTTGTCCCTGGATCAGAACGTGCATAGACTTTTAAAGCAAACTGGTTTAATAATAAAAATGGTTAGGTCACTTTACACAAGCAAATTCGATAGGAGAGCAACATTTCATGAGCTAATTTTTGGAATGTAAAATTCGAGACACACGGAGTGACATGTCAGAATTGGGGATCGAGACGCACTGAGTGACATGTCAGAATTGGGGCCGAGACGCACTGCGTGACATGTCAAAATTGGGGATCGAGCCGCACTGAGTGACATGTTTGAATTAGGGATCGAGACGCACTGAGTAACATGTCAGCATCGGGGATCGAAACGCACGAGTGACATGTCAGCATCGGGGATCGAGACGCACGAGTGACATGTCAGCATTGGGGGTCGAAACGCACGGAGTGACATGTCAGAATTCGGGACCGAGACGCACGGAGTGACAAGTCTGAATTGGGGATCGAGACGCACGGAGTGACATGTCAGCATTGAGGATCGAGACGCACGTAGTGACATGTCAGAATTCAAGTTTGGGGACCGAGACGCACGGAGTGACATGTCAGCATTGGGGATCGAGACGCACGGAGTGACAAGTCTGAATTGGGAACCGAGACGCACGGAGTGACATGTCAGCATTGGGGATCGAGACGCACGTAGTGACATGTCAGAATTCAAGTTTGGGGACCGAGACGCACGGAGTGACATGTCAGCATTGGGGATCGAGACGCACGGAGTGACATGTCAGCATTGGGGATCGAGACGCACGGAGTGACAAGTCTGAATTGGGAACCGAGATGCACGGAGTGACATGTCAGACTTGGGGATCGAGACGCACGTGGGATGGATGGTATCTGTAGAACTCAGTGTATGCCTAAGATAGCGGACACATGGCATAGAATACACACTTTCACACTGGGCACCTACGAACTCATGTATCTAGTGTTAAATTACAAGACAACAAAAAAGTTGTTTATAATCAATACATTTCACAATGAATTTAACACATGGTCTGACTGGTCCTTTCGGTGTCAGGTGACAAGGTGTGACACCTGCCCACGCATCATGCGATAGTACAGTTTCAATGACAGACATTTCACAGGAAGCAGAACAATTTGATAGATGGTTGTGTGGGGAGAAGAATCAGACATGATTCAATAATAATATAATGTTTCGAATTCCAAATCAAAATCACTATAAAACTATGTTATGAGTGAATTAGTATATTTTTTTTAGATTTAACCATAGACCTTAGAAAAGGAAAAAAGGTCTATGATTTAACCAATATTGTAAAAAAGCTTCTTTGAAACATACTTCCGTTTCCGCCATCAAATCCAACATGTGAGTTTCAGGAAAATTATTTCACAAAAAAAAAACAAAAAAAAAAACATTGATCAGGTAAGTCTGTTCTTTGAAGTATAATATGGGGAAAATGTACACACATACTGATATGTGAATGAATATAATGTTTTCACCAACTTGAAAAATGCTTTGCTCACCAATTTGCTCTCGACAAACTCAACAACAAACACTACGCACATGACTATGGATGAACCATAGCGAGAATGTTATTCGACAGCTTCATTCAAATGACTTTACGAAATTAAGAGATATGTGTGCATTATTGAATGAGTTAGTCATAGCGATATTGTGTACCTAAGAGCCACATGCACACTCGGTGCCAGTGTCCATTCTACAGGAACCACGCAAACTCCCCATAGATGACAATGTAACACCTTGAAAAGCAGGACTAATTACATCCCGCCTTTTAATCGCATCGCATTCAATGTCAAAGCAGCAATGACATGTACATGCAAGATTGAATTAGTAATCGCGACCTCGTACATTCCGCAACCGTAACAAATAAATGACACTCGCTGTCATGGTTACAACAAAATAGAGAAATCAGCGATCACAGAATATTTATATATTGTATATTTATATCCGGCTCAACCCAATTCAGTAATGTTTTTAATACATGCAAATAAAATAGTGTTTTACACAAAGAAACTGGATTCTTTCATTTGGCGTTTCAATATTCACGCTTCAATAAACTTTACTCTTCGTGTGCGTTTTATAATGCTCTCACCCACCCACATCCATGGCTATGATTCTTCAAGTTGATATGAATGTGGGTGGCACGATATATTCTGTGAGGTTACTTTAACGATCATAGTTGTAAAAATTAACTCTCCGTGTTTTTCAGGGACATCGTACTTGATCGTGTCAGTTGTCTCTATTGTCAAGCAAACTATCAACTACTTGTACAATGTTTTTTTTTGCGGATGTCAGCTTAGCACACCATGTAAGGCATGTCAGCTTAGCACACCATGTAAGGCATGTCAGCTTAGCACACCATGTAAGGCATGTCAGCTTAGCACACCATGTAAGGCATGTCAGCTTAGCACACCATGTAAGGCAAAAACATACTAAAGAGAAAATCAGTCGAAAATTCTAATATATATATGTCGTTTGCTCTCTTTAGCAAACAATATCACTGTTCTTGTTTCACGTTATACTAGTACCTGGTCTACTAGTATTACAAATAAGTTTTTGCACACAAATTAAGATACATTATCGGTTGAAATAAACGCCATACACGGAAAATATCACACCACAACCCTTTGAACTCCAATGTTTTGCAGGCCAAGGCCTTTGAAACGGAAATAATTTCTGATATATATATATATATATATATATATATATATATATATATATCCCTGCCAAACGTTACAGTAAACTAGAATTATCCTCGCTGTGTTATTTTTTTCAGAATCAGTCAAACCAGGGTCGGGTGCTGCTGGATGACAGCATGTTAAGGGATGTTCAATATGACGCTGATTTCTGCGTGTCCATAACCTGGTAAAGGTCGGCTTCCTAATGCGTCTCTGAAAACAGAATAAATCATGAATCAATTGCTAATAGAGACCTTATAGTAGGTTTATAACAAGTTTCAAAACCCATACTGATAGTTGAAAAAAATAAATCAATTTTGAATCATACACATTATTGTTTTAAGTCATGTTTCGAAACTAATAGTGCTGCAGTCAACATAATATCATATCAATATGCAATATACCGATATATGTTGTCTCGACACTCATGACGACGTGATTAGACTGAATTGTTAGCCAGGAATTTTGGTTACAGCGAACAATACATTAATGAGCATTTGCATGTGAATTCATTGCAGATCGTTCTTATTTAGTGACATTTTAATAACGATATTTTTCACGTATTTATGCACAAGTAGAAATCCACCCACCGTCAGACATTCAACACAGTGTCAATCCATCACCAAATCACACATAACAGGAAATTAGGACAATAACTCCCGCAACATTGATTTTAAAGTTTTGTTGACAATACCATCAGTTTTTCTTCATTGCTAAGATTTTCTATTTTATCACCATTGGAATCGGTTCATCATTTGCTATTTGCAGTTAAATCCAATTAAAACCGTGTGTTCCATCATAAAACGCTGTATTCAATAGTTCCATCTTTTAAGTGCCTATTAAATACTCTTAATGCGCATGACGTATGAATATAATTAAATATTCTACTGGTATCAACTTGTCACCTGACAGTCACATTTAGTGAATACAGCAATTCCAACTACGACAGATGGATAGTTTTGTTGCGACTCTTTTCAAATGTCCATTACATTTGCATGTTAAACATATGAATATATTATGACATAATCAATACTTATTTGAGAACGAGGCTAACATACCAGCATAATTTATATAATGTAATTCGTTCATTATTGTTTCTTGTACGCAAAGTTTTTACTATTTTATTCAAATTGTACAATCTGTATTTGTATCGCCCGTGTGCATTAATCTGTTCCTATATTTTCTAAGAAGGTGACTTTCCAGTTTTAATAAAATCAATACAAACGACTGAAAATCATTAACAGTGCATTTGACCCTTGTCTACACTCCAAGTACTTCGCGGAATAGTTAGTACCTTAGAGCAAACCGTCGCTCTCATAATTTTGTATTCGAGGGCATTTCAATTATGAATATTTATAAACTGTGACTTTTGGAAAACGGAGTAAGATTTTCCAGACTCATAGCAAGCTGTTACACTGTCACGACATATGATTCTGATCAGACTTTTGACGACTTTAACTAATTAATATGTCTACGTGTCGTAATACGACAATAACCACCAAGAACACGACAGCCTGGTCACCTTTGTTAAACGGTCCACTGACTATAAAGTATGCAGCATAAAACTAAATTAAAATACATGACGGAATAGGGTGATGATATCATTTTTGTACTTTTTCCTTTATGTTTCCGTTTATTCATATCATATATTGCAGTATAAAGTTTACTGCTCACGCGAGGGTAGCCCGACAAAGTCGTGTTCAATCTGCGCATGCGTGACAATGTCACGCCTATTTACCCAATGAGTTTACGCATCTTTTAGTTCATCTAATTGCAATATTTAATCCATATTTTAATGCGATGTTGCGCCAGTTATCGTCAGATCTGACATCGGGAGGCTGGGGAATACGTACTTACTATGAGGTATATTCTATCTCTGGTTGGAGGTCTGTGCCTATTTTTGACACCTACGACGGCAGGTAAGCTCTGTTTTAACAACTTAAATCACGTTCTTCACACGATAACCTGTTCGGAAAATATTTTCAAAGATGGAAATAATAACGCAAGATATTTTACTAGATGGGTTGCACATTACGAAATCATCAACAGTATAAAATATATACCTTGTATATTTATGTTTACAGATTCGTTAATACTAGTATACGCGTATTTACAAAATAGTCAGCGGTTCAACTAGTATGACCTGTACGTCTAAAGTCGCGGAGTATGGTAGTTATAACCTCAGACTACTTCTATAATAGTTTAAGTTATACAGAGGCGGAGGCGGAGGCACGAAATTATGCATGGGGAGGCGAGATCTGCTCACCATCCCTTGCGCCCCGTAGTGGTCGCGCATTTTTTCGGGGGCACCCCTCCCCCGTGCCGCTGCCACTGTTATATAACTTACTATGAACATGTCATGTTGACTTATCAACACATATGTTTAATTCAGGTAATAATGAGTAACCATTATCTTTGTCACGTGGCACCAAATGAGCGCTCACCGAGTGGATAATTTCATGACACGTACATGCATAACAACAGAAAAATAACTGTTGATCGATTTTCTGGTATTTATGCCATTATCATAAATATACGCCATATAACATGACATAATGAGATTCTCCAATACACATGTATTGTTTAGATACATATAACACTTAATTATTCAAATTTTCTGATTTTATAGTTGTTTTTCTTTACTTATTTCTGCGACCATTCCAATCTAATTTATTATGTATTTATATGTATCTGTACATAAGGCCGCAGTACGAAATAAAGATATTATATTATTATTACATATAACAACAGTGACTGCACCTGCGTATTCCATCTAACAAATACTATATGACAATAAATCAAACTCCAGTTCGGTTCACAGAATGCCATATCAACCAGCAATTTCTAAAAAAAATATGTTTTCGTTCATATTGCATCTTTAATAGATGAATATACGTATAAAATTAGTCACATGATAAACAGATAACAAATGCGTCATTTCAATGTCACGATCAACTGGATTGTTTTAACAGACTGTGGAACACAGACGGGTTATTCAGAGACAAGAAAACGTGTAGCCGGCGGCAATGTAGTTGATGATGTATACAAATGGCAATGGACCGGTCACTTACGATTCAGTGGACAAGATGTATGTACAGTCGTACTCGTAGATCATATGTGGGCGTTAACCAGTGCACAGTGCATGTAAGTATAGTCTGTTGTACCAAAAAGGTTCGATAACCATTAATGTAAATGCAAATCCCTTTGGAGGTACATTTTGCCACAGATTAATGATTACCGTGACCTGCAGGAATACTTTGCTCGATCAAGCATGAATTACAATGTTTTACAAATACTAGTGCAGTATTATAACAAATACAATATTTTGACTTTAAAAATTGCTAGAGCGAGAGTTTCGAATTTCGCGTAAACGTATTTTACGCATATTGTATATGTCGCATAGAACCCACTTCGAATACTATGGACTGACACTAGGATTTTGTTCCGTGTATAGATTAAAATGGACAGATCCGACGATATTTACGGTCGTTTTGGGGGATGGATATGGTACGGGAATAGAGCAAACCTTTGGAGTGACAGAAATGATGATCCATCCGTTATTTGACCATGCAACACGTGAATACGACGCATGTTTACTCAAGTTATCAACTCCCGCCAGTAACTTCGATCCTATATGTGTTGTCGATGAAGCGTTTGATTATACAACGTTTGATGAATGTTGGTTAACAGGGTATGGGCAAATCACAGGTAAGAATGACCAGAATGGTGTCTTGTTATGTCGGTATTTGTGGTGATCATGAGTGGACATAATATGGATGATATTGTGAAAATTGTACGAAATACGTAATATGTTATCAACCTGAAATAGCCACCAATACCGGAATTGACCACTCCGCTCCGTTAACATGCGCAGAGCAGTTGGTAATTGGTTGTCTATGAAACGCGGAACCGAAACCGGAATTGCAAAACTGTAAAATTAATATTAAAGTCAATTTAAATAAATACGTGTCTTGGTATTTAGTTTACGGTTTAGGTAGACATACAGTATACCTAAATATCTTTTTATCATAATCCTAATTCCAAGACACGATAAATTAAATTTAATACATGTACAAGTTTAAGTTGAATGTCATTGAATTTACTATATTTCACCTAGATACAGTTTAAACATACTGTAATCAAACTACATTCCGATATAGAATCGCATTTCATTTGAGTTAAATTAAATGTCATTGTTATTAAAGCATTTTAATTGAGTTTAATTATATTGTAATTAAATTGCATTCCTATATAGGATTGCAATTTAATTGAGTTGCTCTACAGATTTCGATTTTGGTTCCGCGTTATATAGACTACCCACCTCAATTGATATCTAAACCATGCTTACCGGTACGTTCCGTCAGAGCTCCATGGCCTTTTTTCTCCTTGTAACAAATATGTAAAATTCATCACAGAACATTATTTACGGTTGTAGCGAATAATTTCATATGGTTGTTACATGGAACTTTCCGCAAATCTCAGCTATACATTTGGCATTACCAATAATATTATTATTATTATTATTATCGCACAGGCGGTACATTCCCATCTAAAATGCACGAAGCATTAATGGACCAAGTCAATAAAGAAACGTGTTATTCTATCTGGAAACAATGGAGCGTACCGATAACCGACAATCATATCTGTGCTGGTTTCCCGACAGAGCAAATAGGAGCCTGCCATGTAAGTTTCAGTTCTTATTTTATTTCGAATAATAACGAATACCAATACAGTACCACGCATTGTCTTGAGACGCTGAAATGTTCGAGTTACGAACATCGAGTTAGGAAAACATCGAATTACAAAAATTGCCACGCCCATATTTAAAAAAACACGCCCACTTTTGAAAAAAAAAACACGCCTAAATTGTAACTCGAAGTTCAAATAACAGTTAATAGAACTTCGAGTTGCGGGCAACCTGTATTTTTGTTTTTGTTGAACGTCCACGTTTAGTAACTCGAAATTTAATTAGCAGTTAACCGATCTTCGAGTTACATGCGACATATATATTTTATTTTGTTTAATGTTTTATGTTTCCCGTAACTCGAATTTCAGTTAACAGTTAATTAATTAAAATTCGAGTTACTAAATTTTAACGTTAAACAAAATGACAAATGTATGTTGTCTGTAACTCGAAATCCGGGTAACTTTTAATTTACGTTCAAGTTACTAAATGTGGACGTTCAACAAAAACAAAAATGTATATTGCCCGTAACTCGAAGACATCGAGTTACAATTTACGTGGCTTCTCGAAAGCAGCGTCATTTTTGTAAGTCGATGTTTTCGTACTCGTTATTCGTAACCCGATGTCCGTAACTCGAACAGTTCAACATCTCCATTATCTTTACTTTATCCGCGAAAGACCGCCTTATCTTATGTGCCACTGCATCAGTACGAAACTGACAACAAGCAAGAGGACGAGCGTGAACAGTAGTGGGTGGTAATTTCACTAGACATTTTAAAACACAGTTTTCTTATTACGGGTATACCTGTCCATGAGAAACGTCAGTTAATTCATCTCAGTAAACAAACTGAACACAGTCGAAAGTATTGGAATAGGTATAATAGGGAGAAGTATGGGGTTCTGATAAGAACGTTCAGTCCGGAAATGTATGATAATACCCCAACATATTAAAATCACCAAAATCGAGTAGCTGCTGCGGAGAGTGTCAAATCACATCGTCACAAATCGACAACACCGGTATTATTTACATTGAAATCGACAAACTTGAATATCAGTATTTTGTCAAAAACGAAATCGAGTTGGTTACGGGCGAGTTGGTATTCGGGCGACTGAGTTGGTAGCGGACAATTTGGTTTAGATGCGACTTACTAACCGCTACCCTAACAGACGACATTATTTTCCACAGGGTGACGCTGGAGCTCCATTGAACTGCGTGAGGGATGGTATCTGGTTTCTGGGTGGTATTTTAAGTTTTGGATCTGGAAAGTGTGGCGCTATTCCAGGTATTCCAGACGTATATACAAAGATGTCGACTGTGTTTACAGATTTTATAGAAAATGCCGTGAATGGCTTGACACCATTGTCTAGTAAGTTGACTGTCTGTACTGTATTTTAGTATATACGCTGTTTGTATAAGTCGCCCATTGATCAACGAATCGCTTGTATGGCATACATGACGGAAATAAGGCCGTCCATTGAGTTGTTTTCATCACTCATCAATAACAAAACACTATATTTGACAACAGAATGATTCTTACATGAAAACTCTTTGTATTCGCATTTTATTGTAATCTATAGGAAGTTTTGATTGTCATCACGAGACAGAATTCCGTTGTGCCAGTCCTCAGTGTATATCATCACTCTATAGATGCGATGGCTATACTTTCTGCCTAGGTAACGATGACGAAAAATACTGCGGTGAGTTGTAACACGGATGCATATAGTGTAATGAAAACTACTATAGTTAAATCTTGAAGAGGTCTCTCGTCGTATTATATTTTGGATTTTAAAGGAGGGTCCATTAATTCGGCTAAGTGTAGTCTAGTTTGTTACAAATTTGATAAATTTGCACGAATTGCTAGAACTGTGAATAATCATTTTCAGTGGACCCCAATGTTGACCAACGACTCGGATTGCTGATATTGGTAAATGCAAATGAACAAGAGGTCATTGATTTGAAGGGTGAATCGTGTTTCATGGTGGCAATCGGGCGGCGTGTACAAGTGCGAATATGATAAAATTGAAAGACTCAGTCAGTAATTACCTTTCTCAGTGTACAGTGAGCAACTAAGATTAATTTAAATAAATAAATACAAAGGCTATACTGTACACCCTGAAAGGCGTGTATTGCCGACCCAGAAGTTAGAGGCTCTATGTGCTATGGTTGATGTTGTAGATTTGAATCCCTGCCTTGGGCAACTTTTTCAATAGTCAAGTTAGTACTTTAAATCTGTGCATTATTACTACTAACTAAGGAGCAAAAGTCTGATTTACCATTTTCCGTTCACCACGAGATCCCGAGTTACGCGTAAAATCGAACGTAAAAACAGAACAAACAAAGGTCATAGCGTCGTAGTGGCGTCAAACATCGCGTGGGATTCGACAAACGCGAAAGTATTTTGGGGATATTTCCATGCTTAATAATGTGCTGTACACATTTGATGATGGTAAATTTCAATGAAGTAAAGGTATTCAAAAACAATATTCCCCTGTCAAAGATCGGCCTTCCATGTGAGCTACGAAATTCGAGTTCAAACAAATTGTTCAGTTTTTGCGGCAGACGTTCGGCTCGCGTTTTTCACGCAACTCACGAGACCTCGCAGTTGAAGGGGAAAAGTCTATTGCAATGTATAAATGATGTATAGTTATGTAGCGATATACACTCTGCAGATGAATACAACCATAGAGGTTTACAAGTTACATAAAGACAAAAAGACACGTGTTTATTAAAAGTAAAGATATGAGTATGAGGAGGTTTACTAAAACATTACGACCAATTTCGGTAAAACTCGGAATATCAGTATGTGTCTTATTCTACACTGCGAATTTTACCAGTTTTTAATTTTTTTTCAAAAAACCCTATCAAGGTTGCTGCTTTTGTGTATAAGAGCAATAGGTCGATGATCTGAGGTGAACACACCCGATACATACTAAACACCCAAAACGCGAAGAAAACTCCCCCATGTGGCCTGGTTGAGAGATGCGGAATCTGATTGAAATATGATCCTAGTTTGGGCTTTCGCCAAAACTTAACAAAAAATACAAGCAAATAAATTAAAAAAATATATATATGAAAATATATATTAACAAAAAAAAAGGTAAAAAAAGCCCAAACTGTGATCTTATTTTAATCAGATTGGGAGGTGCGGGTCCCGTATTTTTCATGGTCAAATAAATCCATAATTAGAGAATTATTTGATATCATTCAAGGGTGACTACTGTATCATTGGCGGCGGCACGGGGGGGGGGGGCAGAGTGGGGGCGTCGCCCCTCCAAAAACAAGCTGAAGCCCTTTGTGTCACAACATTTGTTCCCCAAGATGCAGGAAATATCGTTTCAGAGGGTCTAGATTTCAGATCTCGCCCCTCATGCAACATTACGTTCCGCCGCCTCTGTATATAATGTTTCTTTGAATGGGTTGTTGATATGACGTGTATATTGTTTACATATGTTTGTAGCTGCACATGTAAAGTACTTCAATCCCACATACATGACGTCATTCAGTGATACACCAGCAGAAAGTATTGTGACGGCTAACGTAGACGAATGTGCCGACCGCTGTCTGACGTCACATGGTTATGTCTGCCACCAGTTTGCGTTTAGAAAATCTGATGGACAATGCGATCTGAGGTTTGAAGACTACCAAGAAGTCAGCTTGGTCTCTATGCCAGGAACAATGTATTTTCGGTTACAGGAATTTGGAGGTAGGTGATATGATGAAAGAAATGGTACGCGAGCTAATTTATTCATTGCTAAGGTAATATGACCAGAAATGAACTAAGTACGCAGGCATGTCATGTAATTAACAAACAAACATTTAATCACTGTTCTATTATACAGTCATTTACTACCATATTGTGTTTGAACGATGTTGGTAAAACCGACAAGTTTTTGAAAATCGCTAAGATTTCTAATTTGTTACTTTCCCGTGTATTAACTACGTCATCCACACAAAGTAATACGAGTTTATGTTTTTTCTCAAACATTTTGTCTGTGGCCCCATTAGCATTATTCCTATATAGTAGCAATGAGCAACCTTATTCGAAAAATGTAAAAAAAAAAAAAAACTGTATCGGGCAGCCTTTTTTTTTTTAAATGATATTTTATTGGGGTATCTCATATGAATTACACTACTTGAAATACACAATAAAATTACATTTCTAGTATTTTCTTGCTCATTTATATGTTCCAATACTTGGTTTATAACTAGCTTTAATGACCTCAGGTACATTTATTACATCAGTCTAACCCACAACTTTCAGAAAATTTCCCCATTTTTTAACGTGTCCTTTTAATTTATTTTTTTTGATTGCAATATCAAATTCTATACTTTGAACATTTTGCATGTATTTTCTATAAGCCATTAAATCCGGCTTCTGTTTTTTACACCTTGCACTGTGTATCGGGCAGCCTTAACGGAATGTCTATTTACGCTACCAGGAACCACAGTCAGCTGACGTACTAGTGATAATTAAATAAATGCGACCTTGTCTCTTTCTTTGATTTCAAGCCATATAGTAAATATCGGAAAATTAATCTCATTTATTTTATTATCATGTGTATGCTAGCTGAATGTGGTCGAATCAAGTACCCCTCAAAAAGGCGCCTTCCTTTTCTTGATTCAGCCTGGAAGGAAAGTTACTTACATTGATACGTATGGGTACTCTGCATTGTTATTGGAATGCAGTGTAGTGGAGAATCAGGAAGTGTTACTATATACTTAATGATACATTTATCTATTTCAGGACATGCGCAGACGATACATCCCAATTTGTTAGGAAATGGACAGTTCTCAACACCGAGGTATTTTAATCACAATTCCCGAAGAAAACTCACCCAATTAAATTTGATGACTGAACCCGGAACAAACATTCAGATACATTTTGACCACTTTTTCGATGATCCATCTCATCCCGAATGTCCTTTATGTAAAGCCGAGCTGAGAGTCCGTTTAAATGGAAGTTCAACCAACTTAGTGGATGAATGCATAACAGAAAGTTCTTCACTTCCGAGTAGTATTATCGCACCCGGCAATGAAGTGGTACTAGAATGGTTTACTGAAAGACCAGAATTGACTGGAATTATCGGCAGTTTCTCTACTGTCGTACCGTAATTGTTAGCACGCGCTATTAATACAAATTGTTTCCGGCAAACAACGAAAGATGTGGCTAGTGAATAAATAAAAATACGTCAATATAGGTCCATTCATTGTGTCAAAAGACGTAAATATATCAGCAATGATGTGCAGTGACGAACAATTTTATGCACACCGATTTGTGTATGTATTGGGTATTGTATAAATTGAATATTTAATTATTGTACCATGTGATAACTGTTTGATTGTTGCGAAAGACATGAGTGCCGATTTTTCGATGTGCTTCTGTAACGATACATTTCCAAAAAACATTGGTTTCATTTTGTTTAAAATGCATGTTTGAGCAACCCAAATTAATGAATAATAACAACAACAAGCATTAAACATTACTAATATCTGTCATTTTGCGTAATTTAGTATTATTTATTGTCTAGTCACAAGTTTGTTCCTGTGATATTTGGAGATTGTGTGTGTTCATTCGTGCAAATTTAAATTATTGCAACTTTTTCGGTTGAGCCATTTTTCCACCAATTCGTTGACACAAATATTTTGTTCAACAAGTTTCTCTAATTTCGTTTGGAAAAATAACATCGCTGATATAATTGGATTAAAAATGATAATTGTGATTACAATATATCGAAACACGATACATTTTCATTGATCGTATATTCGGTCAAATATATCAATGTTTTATTAGTGGGTAGTATCATAATATTAGTTATGCATGAGCTGTCAAATTTACCAATTACATGGCCCCAAAAGGCGAGCTAGAAGAAGGTCATTCAATTGTCAATTATAAAATTACATGTATTTGGGGCGGGGTATTTAATGGCAAGTCGCTCAGAGTATGTCCCTGAGGGAGGGGGAGGGGTGAAGCCATTAATAACAAATGTCTAAAGCCATTAAATCAGAATAGTTTAGATTTTAGTAGATCAGCGCTAAACATGCAATGTGTTTGTGTAGTGGATCAATGCTAGAGTGTAGCGTGATATCGGTTTCTTTGGCTTCAATGTTAATTGGTAGCCATTTCAAGGACACCAGCTATCAGGTGACATTTTACCGCACCTCGTATCCGATGATCCAGAACAAGATGAAGTAGTACGATAGACGCTATTGTGTAAACAAATCATAATGGTGCCAATACAATATGAACGCAATTACACCTACAATACTACAATCAAAGGTCGATTGACGATGATGTTCCAAAAGCATAAGACTGAGATATAGGGCACATCATTCTAAATTTGTCCTATTTAACTATTTCGCTTCAGTCACCTAAAATATTAAGTTTGAAGGTTTTTTTCTAAGAAGGGAATAGAATTATAGAGTGCCACATTAACTGTATGAGATTTTGATATGATTAATGTGCTTGATTATTCAATTCACGATGTTGATTCAATTATGCTGACGATTGCCTGGTAACTTCACTAGTATGCGACAGGTATGTGTTAGTGTTGACACGTTACTTGACCTAGCAATGAAAATAGTAAACCACAAGAATTAAGAAATATAGTTGTTGTTTGTGTGTTTGTGTTCATCAGTTAACTATTCTCCAATGACCTTTGTAAATACATACTGTGTACACAAGGCCTTTCAATTACCCCTATGTATGAATGAAGCCTGCTACACAATAGGAGAAAATATTTCGATCTTCCCAACCTAAAGTGGCCACGCTATTGCCTTCTGCATCGACACCCCCGCCTTAAGAGAGGATGTGGTCGTAATAAATATGGTGTCATTACCTTTTTATAACAAAAGGTACTAACTAAAAACACATCGCCATTACGTATCATTAAATACGGGTTAGGGACTAAAGAGGTGCTTTCGAGTGACGTGTAGAATGATGTCTACTATGACTAAACAAGGCAAGACGCAATAGAACGCTTAATTATATTCATACCAACATGGAGATAGTTGCGTGACACTGTTGGATGCCTTGGTGCTTGCCATTGCGTAATTTATAGTGGGTGTGTCGAATTTGAATACAGGGGTGCGTTCTATTGTCAGCACAGCAACTATTTGCCAGCGCTGAGCTTTTATAGACCATTCCAGTAAGTTTTCATGTTCAGTTTATGCGTATGAATTGAACAAGGCATCAAGATGTTTGTCGTGAAAGTACTGGCTTTAGCGGTGGTCTTGACGGCTGCTTTCACAACGGAAATTCACGCAGCAGATGGTGAGTAACAAAACAAATTTCATAATTTGAGTTATATGGCACAATAGTATCTTAAGCAAAATATATGGGTACGCATACCGATATGTTCGAGGGGATTAAGTGTTTGAAGAATAAAATGAGTACTGTTGAAGGGACAAATAAAGAACGGTAAGAATTTCATTTCATTCAATTTCACCTTTCTGTTGGTTCGCATACAAGTATAACAATCGTCGTCTTACGTGCTGGGTCATACTTAATTGAAATCAGGGATCTAAGCATACTAGCCCAAAGTGAATGGATTTCTTTAGGCGTGTCTATGGTATGTGAGTCCAGCCTTGAGTCGGCGACATTCTCTGCTGACAATATGTGTCTTGTGAAGACAGTCATTTCATCTCCTGTGACTACACTCTTTGGTTTTTTAATAGCATTCAAACAGGTGGCTGGCTCATGCTCTCGTTAGATCTACAGTGTGAGAATGAACTTTTCATCCAATGAAATTAGGTATTCATAGTCTCAATGCATTTCCCCATGGGTATAAGAAATAATGTTACTCTATATTTTGTCGTATCACTTGTTTCAGATCACTCATAATAATTTGAAGACGCAGCTTATCAAATGTACATTAGTTACATTCATTAACACGCCATCGTGCATAACCAGTTTTACGACTGGACATTATTTCTGCATGAGTTAGATTACAGCCAGACTTTATGTTGGTTGTAAGGTGTGCTACACTGTATATACAGCTTGCTAACTACAATTATACAGGGTGACCATACGATGGTGCCCATTTAACCGTAAACTATTTGATTCATGTCAAGAGAGCGGCACCCAACATAGGTTCTTTTGTACCAACTAGGCAACGATGTGACACTTTTTTCTTTCACGTGATAGTTTCCAAGGCCGTGAGTGTAAAAGTGCGACAATATTTGGTGACAGCCATTTCTTTAGAACCTTTAAACTAAACGCCAAGATTACAATGGATGTGAAACAAATCAATCTCTTATTAGATTCCAGCCCCACAGGGTACACACACACATTGTTCATTCAAAAAAACGAACTCACATGGGAAATAATGACGCACGGAGTAAATACTTAAAGGTGGGTATACTGCTAAATATAGTTTATTTTAATTTGATTTAAATATACCCCCGATACGGGGAACATGACATTGATGCGAAGAGTCTGTGAACGTGAAAGTGGAGTTACCGTTAGATAGGAAATCTCGTGAGACCGAATGATGCTACATAAAACATACCAACCGTTTCATTTAACGTTCGATTTGAATAGACAATGTTGTAAACCTATAAAAACCAACCAGTCATGAATTTTTTGTAGACATTCACCCATTCAAGTCTTTCAAGTTGCCGAAGATTTAATACCAACAATTGGTGATAAAAAACTCTAAATTATGGAAACAAAATAACACCGACTCATTCCTGACGTGACCGGAGTAAAATTAAATTGATTCTAATATGAAATTAAAACAAACATTGTCCAATCACAGCAATATATTTATGGCTTACATAAATTAAAACAAGCCTTGTTCAATCACAGTAATGTATTTATGGCTTGCATAAATTAAAAACAAGCCTTGTCCAATCACAGAAATATATATTTATGGCTTGCATAAATTAATACAAGCCTTGTCCAATCACAGCAATATATTTATGGCTTGCATAAATTAAAACAAGCCTTGTCCAATCACAGTAATGTATTTGTGGCTTGCATAAATTAAAAACAAGCCTTGTCCAATCACAGAAATATATATTTATGGCTTGCATAAATTAAAACAAGCCTTATCCAATCACAGCAATATATTTATGGCTTGCATAAATTAAAACAAGCCTTGTCCAATCACAGTAATGTATTTATGGCTTGCATAAATTAAAAAAAAGCCTTGTCCAATCACAGAAATATATATTTATGGCTTGCATAAATTAAAACAAGCCTTATCCAATCACAGCAATATATTTATGGCTTGCATAAATTAAAACAAGCCTTGTCCAATCACAGTAATGTATTTATGGCTTGCATAAATTAAAAAAAAGCCTTGTCCAATCACAGAAATATATATTTATGGCTTGCACTAATTAAAACAAACATTGTCCAATCACAGCAATATATTTATGGCTTGCATAAATTAAAACAAGCCTTGTCCAATCACAGTAATGTATTTATGGCTTGTATAAATTAAAAACAAGCCTTGTCCAATCACAGAAATATATATTTATGGCTTGCATAAATTAGAACAAGCCTTGTTCAATCACAGACATATATATTTATGGCTTGCATAAATTAAAACAAGCCTTGTCCAATCACAGAAATATATTTATGGCTTGCATAAATTGAAACAGTTCTCGTCCAATCACAATACTGCATTCACGGCACTGGCAGAGTAGTACGTCATAAACTGATCATTGAATAACACCTATTATACGGGCAAACCACAGTATTCATGAGTTTGATTCCTTTTATTTTAGAGAACCTGAAGTTAAAGGGCGGCAGTCGTCGCGCCGCGTCCTGTTCGATATGGGACTCATAGCGACGTATACAACGCGTGTAAAATACATTGTTTATTTTCATGAAATTCGAACTCGCGCTGCGCGACGACCACCGCGCTTTGAGTCATTGTACTTGTTCATACGATCACACTTACATGAAAGTGGACACACAAATAATCCCTGCCTCGTTGGAAGCCGACTCCGGGTCATGACAGTCACTCAGCAATTGTTTAAAGCGATTATTGCGAGGGTGTGTGCCCGGTAAACACCCCAGCAGATCCACTTTCGGATCACATATCGCGCCAAGTAGTGGGCGAAATGCATGGCGAATGATGAACGCCCACATACAATTGCCATGTCTAATGAATTCAAAGTTTCTGTGACAATGGCCTCATAATATATTGCAATTACATGTTTTCATTTGGCACCCCTAACACTAGTTATTTCGTCTCAGTATTATATTGGTTTAAAAATTATGGAAAAATTGAGAAAAATGCAGCTTATATCTCGTTAACCATGAATTGAGGGCATTTATGTGTCTATCTGCGTTCATCACGAAGACTCATGAGAACACCTCTGATGAATATATTCATATCACAAAGACCTCGAATGGCAAAAGCGTTATGTACTCATTTCATCCATAACACCAGTCACTATAAATTAACATGCCACTGTACTGACAGTGTTATTCGCAAACAAACAGACAAAAAAGTAAAGATTGTGACCCGAAAGTACTTAAAAAGTACAATAAATATATATAAATGACAGATATGCCGACGGTGTTGTATTTTGATCTTTGGGGTTGTACAGTTTCATAAATCATGGACACAGAACATTTGCATGCAGATTAATAAATCCTTCACCAGGATGACGAGAGCACGTGTTATGATTCGGTAATTATAACCAGTCCCGGTGGAAAACCAGCTAGTCTCGAATAACTCTTGTTTACAGAATCATAATTACATATTGTATTTTGACCCATGTCATTATAAGGGTATATGGACAGTTTCTACAATTATGACCATAAAAGGACAGACGGTGGTGTTTCAATTACGGCCATTCTTATAGAACAATTGCGTTCAGATGGACAGAGAGTGATATGCATTGACTGGGTCAATGCTCTATAAATTATTGTGCAGCTCCATAAATTATCCAAACTCATGGAGAAAACCCCATACAGATACACTAACAGACTGTGATGTGAACTCATTTAGCACCACGCTGTCAGATTTGACAGTTCCGTCAACATCGATTCATTCTTGCAGGACAGCGTCGCTCGATACATGACATTGTACCACGACACAGAACATTTGCATGCAGATTAATAAATCCTTCACCAGTATGACGAGAGCACGTGTCATGATTCGGTAATAATAACCAGTCCCGGTGGAAAACCAGCCAGTCTCGAATAACTCTTGTTTACAGAATCATAATTACATAATGTATTTTGACCCATGTCATTATAAGGGTATATGGACAGTTTCTACAATTATGACCATAAAAGGACAGACGGTGGTGTTTCAATTACGGCCATTCTTATAGAACAATTGCGTTCAGATGGACAGAGAGTGATATGCATTAACTGGGTCAATGCTCTATAAATTATTGTGCAGCTCCATAAATTATCCAAACTCATGGAGAAAACCCTATACAGATACACTAATAGACTGTGATGTGAACTCATTTAGCACCACGCTGTCAGATTTGACAGTTCCGTCAACATCGATTCATTCTTGCAGGACAGCGTCGCTCGATACATGACATTGTACCACGACCGTCAGTTCCGCTGCGTAAGTATGAGAGCGCTGGTCGGCCACACCCAATATTGTTATCGTCAATGACAAATTACGAAAAAGATGAAAAGAATTCCATTGTATTGTGAGAGTGTTCCGTCGATTATTTTCGCTCCATCGCGCTGAATGTCAAGTCTATTACAAAAATAGTAGTTGCAAATTAAAACAGCACACGAACGCGTTCTCTAGCGACCAGACAAATGACGAGGTCGTTCATCATTTAGAGTATTGGAAATTTCTTAACAAAC